TCAGTCTGTAGTCAGACAGAAGGCAGGGCAGGATAGCACTTTAGAGACAAACTCATTCAGAAAGGCTTTCTATACGAGGTAATCTGTAAGATGCCACCCTGTCCTGCCTCCTGCTTTATTTACTTCTGGAATTATTTTCTTCCTTCTAGGCTGTAGTTCTGTGCAGATAACCTGTAAAACTAAAGAAACAATAGTACTATTCTACATCATTCTAGTAGACACAACTTAGAACAGTTATGAGATGCACATTTGGAAAAGGATATTAAGAAAATAGAAGAGTGGTGAAAAATGACATGAGTGGAAGGAGCAGCATGGGGGTAATTTTAAACATATGATTGTAGAGGAGAGAAGATTCAGGATTTGAAGGAGTAAGAGACAGGATCATTATATATGACAGTGGTGCTCAACTTTTTTGCTTGCCAGGCCAGATGGGCCATGCTCAGTCTGTCCACAAGTCAGATGTGGCCCTGATCAAGTGTCCATAGTGGGCACAGCAGGACCCCGTCTGGCTGCAGAAAGAGGGTCAGGGGGCAGCCTGGCCCAATCCTGCCCCATGGTGGGGAAGGGGATGTGGCCCAGTCCCAATCCAGCCCTGCGGGGAGAAGGGGGCCTGGCTCATACAAATTCATCCTTGTGGAGGGAAGGGGTATGGTCTGGCCCCAGTTCAGCTGGGCAGGGGAAAGTGGGTGGGGCCCAGCCCAGATCTGGCTGTGCTGTGGAAGGAGTCATGGGAATTGGGCAGTGGGAGATCATGGTCCCTACTCCCCTGCCGCTAAATTTCCCAACCTATGGGAAGCCCTGCAGGCTAGATGTTAGCGGGCCCATGGACCGTAGGTTGAGCACCCCAGTATATGAGTTTCTTTGTGGGCCACACATGGAGCTATATGGGTGAGCTCCCAGTCAGGGGGCACTGGAGGGCTGCTCCTTGGGCCACTCCTGTTTTTAGGGGGGCCCATTACTTGACAGCCTGTCCTCTTCCCTGCTGGAGAAGTGGATGGAACTGTCAATAGACAGCCCCTTGCACTACACATGGGGTGATTTAAAGCTGGAGGCACAGGGAAGCAGAGCCAGGAAGCACCCGCCCCCAACTCCTAGGTCCCAGCTCCCCACCTTTTAAAGTCTGGAGAGCTGTGAGCAGGACTGAAGGGGGAGGGGTGTTGCATTTAAAGCCCAGGGGCTGGGAACTGGGCCTTGGTTCCCAGGCCTGAGGCTTTGCAGTCCCTGCCCACACTGCCCAACTGTGTAGAGAGGGCAGCATTTGAAGCCCGAGAACCAGAGCAGGGAGACAGGGGTCATTTTCCCAGGTCTGAAACCTGCTGGGACTCTGGGACGTCTCCAGCCCCAAGTGCACCTTCTTCCCCACACTGCATTCCTCCCAGTCCTGGGGGAACCGGAGTGCATTGGGCCAGGATCTTCTCCCACAGTGGGAGCCCTCCCAGGGCTCTTGAGGATTTGCACTGCAGAAGAATGCCCTCCATGCCCCCAGTCCCAGCAATCAGCTGATTGACAGGATGTGGGGCAGCGTCCCCACAGGCTCCCCTGACAGCTGGCCCTCCTTGGAGGGAGGGAAGGCAAGGTGGAGGGGCTGCGGGATACCAGGTGTCCTCAACACCTGAGAAGCATCAAGCTGTTCAACTTCCTGTGGGAGGCAAGCGTTCTTCCCATCTGGAAGAGGTAGATCTTTCTTGTGGAAAAACCATTTTTCTTTTGCAGGAAAACCCTTGACTGGCAGTATGTTCCTTTTGTGCTGGAAGGCTTTTCTCCCAACACAAGTGTAATGCCTAGACATGGCCATGACAACCAGATAAAAAGGAAGCCAATAATTTGGTTTCTGAAGATGGTCAGAAAAGGAGCAATGACATGAATGAGAGAAGTAGTGTAGGGCAGGTATTAGGCAAAGATGGCCCCCACTACTGCAGCGCCTTAATGCCTCACAGTGTAAAGTATTGATCCTCACACCGCTCCTAGAAGGTAGTGAAAGCACAAATAAGAAGCCTGACTTTGCAGGCCTTTGAATAGGAGTTCTGCCTGCAAGATAGCTTTAAAATCCATTCAGTGCCCAATAGACACACAGGGAGGGTCCAGACAGTTTGCAACAACTCAAAGCTGTTTGAGGCACCACAAACTGCATGGGGCGCATATGCAAGCGTTCACTGTGCTGCTAAATGCATCACAGCACAACGTCAAAATTTGACACCAGGGGATCCCAATGTCAAAACAAGCCACAGAAAAAATGGTGTGGTGTACAGCTTGCACCACCAAAAAGGGAGCCTGGCCAGCCAGAGTCACACTCTGGTTGCTGGCCAGGCTTCAAATGGCCAGATTGGCACCACTGCTCCCTTGGGAGACCGCCAGGAGCTCAAGTAAGATTGCTAGGCCCAGCACAGGTGCTGACCCCAGCTTCCCCTACTCCACCTGGGACAATTTGCCTCACATCAAACCTCACATGCAGGGACGTGTGCAGTGACAAAAAGCAACATCACAAATTTGTGCCACTGCTATTTTTGCCACAGCAAATGCATGCCTCTGCATGTGGGGACATGCTCAGGGTGGGCACTAACTAAATAATTTAAAATACAAGTCTTTGGGCTCACTGCTGGAATAACTACATAGCATTCAATGGCTGGTGTTCCACAGGAGATCTGACTAGATCTTCACAATAGTCTCCACAGGCCTGAAAGTACAAGTAACTGTAGCCTGGCTTGCTTTCTAAACAATCTCAATCCCATACTGCTTTCTGTAAGTGAATGAGGGCATGGGACAGCAAAACCAACCATGTGATAAAAGTGAAAGGAATCTAGACTCCAAAATTTAGAACACCCAATAAAATGAAGAAGTATGGGTGTCCTACTGAAAATTTGAAGTCTCTGTGTTTAGAGATTCCCTGTGTTTCATTTATAATTTCCACTCTGTTACCCAGTTTACTGCACAGCATCTTTTACAAATTCACAATTTCACATAACATGGAAAGGAAACTAGCATGGGGCTCTGGGTAAAAGAGACAACATATCCCCTTGGAAATTCAGAACACACATGTGTATGTCTGCGAAATGTCAAGGGAGAGGCAGTACTGTCCATTATTTCCTGTCATTTCTGTCTATTTTTATGCACATGAAACGAATTAGCTCATTGCATTCTAAAATGTAAGAGCTGCTTTTCTGCTGCCATCTGACATTGCTGGTTTTCTAGGGCAGTTAACCTGGGAAATGGGTACAGTAGAAGTTATCAAATGTCAGGCTAATGAAGTTTCCCACTGAAGAGTAGAAGCAAGAATAGGTGACTGGAAACTAGAAATGCTGAGTACTGTGATGGACGTAGTCATTGGCAGGATGTGATCTTGGGTAAGTTGGGCCTCAGTTTTCCCAGCTGTTAAATTTGACTAATAATGCATATGTATCTCAGGGGAGACAGTGAGGTTAGCTAATTCTTGTAAAGTCCTTTGAGATCCTTCCCAAAACCCAATCTTGACATAGGAAATATTTGTGATGGGTCTATCAAATGAATGTGTAACTGAGGGGTTACTTAACTAGTCCGTTGGTCTGGCCATCACATTAGAGAAGGAGAGGCCTGGCATCAGGGGCGGATCCAGAGGGAGTGCACTGGCACGGTTGCAGCTGCCTTTCAAGTCACGGTGATCTCTTCTGGATTGCAAGAGTAGCAACCCAAGACTTTAAGTCTTGGAAGCAGGTAAAAATCTCCCCTCTCCACCCCACTCTCAGCACCTCCTCCATCTTTCCACTTTCTCTCCCCTGCCCTCCTGTTCCCCCTTCTCCCGCCTGCTACTGTTGTGATGTCTGGCTGACTCAAGGGGGACAGCAGGGGAGCTCCAGAGCTGCTGCTGCTCTACTTCAGCCAGGATGTACAGAGCCTGGCTCAGTGGGGAGGTGGTGGCAGCAGTGGTTGGTTCCTAATCCCTCACCTCTGCTGTTTCCCGACAACTCAGGAGCAAGTGCAGGGAGGGGAAACAGCTCCCTGCACCACTTCTCCCTTCAGTGCTGGCTGGAGCAGGGCAGGAGCACCTGGGACAGCAGCAGTAGTGACAGGTAGATCTCCTGGACCCCTTCTTGTGCCCAAGGGAGTCAGGAAAAAGAGTGGTGGGGAGAGGAGGGGCTGTGCCATGAGCACAGATAGGAAGGGAGTGGTGCCGAGAGCAACTGTGGGGGGAGATTCTTACTTGATTGCACCCCCCTTTTTAAAATCCTGCATCTTTCCATGCCTGCAGTGAATATCCTGGGTCCATCCCTGGCCAGACCAGCATGGTGCTGCAATCTGTCCTGTCCCAGAGAGCTCTCTAATAAAAGGGAGCTCCTTTCATACTTTCAGAATTACTAGGTAATGTCCTTTGTCTATATTATGCATATACACATATATTACACACACATGTATGCGTGCACACATATAAACAGGTGTTTTGTTTGCTTTTCTCTCAATGGTTCCCTTGCCTTTGCTAACACTATGTTTCTCTCTTTCCACCGTAGTGGACAGCCGCACTACAGTAGTAACTCTGCTATTTGCTTAAGGAGCTTGTGCAGCTGAGTGCTTAGGGGCTTAGCCTAGGCGTCAGGAGGCCAAGGTATGCTGGTCAAATTGCTTTCTTGTCCTGTATATCTCCATTTCGAAACTGGGGATAAAGACACAGATTTCCCCTGTAAAGAAGTCTTTGATCTGCGGATGGAAAATGCTCTGTAAACTCAGCGTTATCACGCTGAGGCTGCCTGCAGGTGAGTGAGTCTTTTACTTTACTGTTATCTGACTGCCCTACAGGAAGCCAGCTACATTTCCTGGGCAGGCTTAGAGCACAGTACTTCACACGTAGGGGAGGATCCCACCGGTTAACTCTATATGCTCTGGGCACTAGACATGTTTAAAATGCAATATATTGCCCACAGAATAAAAAAAGAGGTCTTCCAGCAGCAACACTATCTTGCAGCTCTCTGATGGGTGCAGGAAGCAAAAGCAGTGGCTGGTCTGAGATGCCCCCAGTCCATAATATGCGTTTCCCTCCTCAGTGAGCCTGTAGTGTTGTGACCATGTCTAAAGCCAGGGCTGAATGTTCCAGTAAAGAAAATTTGCTCATGAATTCAAGTTGTTCACATTTAGCTCTGGGGATTACTTCCAATACTTAGGACTGAACACAAGCCAAGCATAGAAGCCTCTCGTAATGTGTCTTTGGTTATTATCTCATAGACACTAAAGAAAAGCAAGAAGCTTTCTGGAGGTATGGTTGGAAACATATTAATGCTCTATTCAAGCGTCAAAGGACTCTATCTAAAGTCAAAAGGACTCTATCGAAGTAGAAATAACCTTTACTTGTGATAGGAATAACACTTTAAACTATTAGTCTGGAAGACATTTCACAAACACTGCTTCATCTCTAATTTAAGTCTGTGAAGACTGGAAGCTGTTATCAGATGCTCAATGGCCTCTGAAAAAGGAGCTGATGCCCTTCCCAGCAATCTCGCTAGAGAGGCCAAAGCTCAGATGGGCCAAAGAGACAGTGCTCCCGTCACAGGCATTCAGGTGGTTTCCAGGTCAGTGGTGGTGTGCAGTAGTGAGAACAGTGGTACATCAATCCGGTGCCGTCCCAGCAATATATGCATCAAAGTAACGAACAAAAAAGGGCCCAGACAAGCAGAGTGCCTGCTGGTGATGCCATTTGTTTACTTTCAGTCTTTTGCTTGGCCCAAACAGCAGGATTTGGTTGGCCGGTTTCATTTTCTCCCTCTCTGACACTGCAGTAGTCAGACCACAGGGTCTGATTTTACATCAAGTAGTCCTGAGGCCAGTGTCATTGCTGAACTGAGTTTAGCCTAAGCAGGGCAAAGCATGGGCTGCCAAGCCCTTTAGTGCTGCGCCCAGCTCAAGTGCTGACGGAAACAGGCTCTCAAGCTACTCTAACCTGTGCCAGCTAGCAGCAGTTTGCAGGGGACCATCTTTTCACTGAGCATCCACAGGCAGATCACTGTTAGCAGGAGTAGGCCATATCCCACTCCCTTTGTCCCCCACCAGTGACCAAAAGGGGAAGGGCTGAAGCAGAAATGTGATCCTAGATCCTCTGAATCGGTTTGTATCTAGTCTTTACGCAGGAAAAATCTTCACTGAAGTCAGCGGCCATTTTGTCTGGGTAGGAACGAAGGGAAAACTAAGGACACGGAGACAGACTCGCAACGTTTCATACGAGTTTGTGCGCGCATGCTTCCAGCGAAGCCTCAGCCAAGCAGCTTTTAGAGCAGGCGCAGGAATGGGTGCGAGGGTTTCTTAGAACATTAAAACTAGTAGTGAAAGTCACAGGGCTTTTTTCCTTTATACAGTTAAAGCCGAATTTGAGCAATAACCCTTCTGATTTCTTTGGGGGAGGAGATATGACGTCTTGTGGTAAACCACACATCCCGTAACCACGACCGTCATTTGTACAAGCTGCTTCTCTACAGAAGTGGCGGAGTTGCTTTTCAGCAAAGTCACACAGTTGTAAAAGGGGAGCGATTCCAGTCAGACTGGGCAGCAAAAAGGAAGAAAGCTCAGCCACAATAAAGCTGCCATCGAACCTGAAAGGAAAAAGACGTCAGCAGCTGAGGGCAGCTCTCCTTTTCCTGGTATCTAGCTAGCTATAATTGTGTGGAAAGAAATCGTGGGCGGGACTGTTACTTACTATCGAAACGTTTTAACCTAACTTACAAACCAGGTGTCAGGGTGGGGTGAAGGCCCGGTCTGTGCAGCATTGAATTGATTAGCCTCCGTCAGGACTAAAGACCAGGAAACATATTTAAGTGCTGCCACAGGGTGGGCTGAGTCTTGAAAAGAATTGGGATCGGCTCCCTCTGGGCCTAGTTATCTGTCTCGCCTGTGAGGAAATCAGGGCTATGTCAGGGGCTGAGTCAAATGATGAAATATCAGATAGGAAGAGACCAGAGGCATTGCTCCTTATAAGAGAGTCTGGTCAGGAGGGGAGTGCTTGTAGGGAGGTTTTGTGGGGAGGTGAGATGCATGAGAGGGTCTTCCATAGTGGGCTAGGGAGAGGGACCAGGTAACAACCAGAAAGGACAGAGGGAAGACACTGGGGCAGTCTCTCCAGAGAGGCACAAGGGCTGGAGTCGGGTTGGTAGAGCTCCCTGGCTCAGAGGGATCTGGAGCGTTTCTGTCTGAAGTCCTTATGCAAGGGCAGCTGGGAAGCCCTGGAGCAGGGATCAAACGTCATCCTAAAGCTGTGATACAAAGGTGACTGGGGAGCCCTAGAGAGGAGCCAAAGTGAGGTGGGCACCTGGAGCCAAGGGTGAAGATGATTCAATGACTTGTTTTGTTTGGCTTAATCATCACCTCTGGAAGAAGGGCCTGGACTCTACCAGTTGGGTCAGAGAGCAGATGTGCTTTGAGGCACTAAACTGGCCCATCCAGAAGGAAGAAGTGTCTGAAGTGAGAAGAGGGAAAACTGAGTCTTAGAGCATCAGGTACAAAAATGACCTTGATACTAGTGCTTAAATACAAAAACCAAGGCACCTAAGTTTAAACTGTTTTAGTTAAGTGGCTGATGAGACCCCCCTGTCACTAGGGTGGCCATTATACAGGACAGTCCAGTTGTCCTCTGTGCTCTGTTGATATGAAACCAGACACCTTTATGTTCTCTATTTTTCTCTTGAAGAGAGACATAAAGGCATCCGGTTTTGTATCAGTAGAGGACAGAGTAGCAGAAAACCGAAATGTCCTCTATGATGGCCACCCTACATGTCACTGAGAGCGTGGGAATCTGTGCCTGATATATATTTGACCAGTCTTCATTTTTAGGGCGTTTAACCAAGCCCTACCAATGTAATGTAGGAAAGGAGGTACAATTGGTGAAAGCTGAGGTGTATTGCCTGATTTTTATCTGGGCCCAAAACTGAAACAGCCAAGGGTTTACACATACTACAGGTGAGGGTTGAGCTGCACTGACCAAGTTACGTAAGGATGTTCAATGCTGAGATAATATTGTGAGCCAGAGTTCGGAGGTGGGTTATAAAGCTTGTATTGCTGTCCTGTTGCTGGCTTAAAGGAAGACCTGGATATTTACTTTCCTGAGCCCTGCTTTCCCCATCCCCCTTCCCAACACAGAGGTCTGAGGCTTCTGTTTCTGTTCCTGTTACTTTAATTCATCCTTCACAACTAAGCTATGAAGAACATGATCAGTCATTTCGCTGGCACCGAGCCATTTCTCACAGTCACTGACTCCCTGGCAGTGGTGTGAGGACTTTCATTTAAACAAGGCCAAACTCTAGGATAACTTTTTAGCATTAAACCACCTAACATTGTTTTCTGACATGCAGGAAAAAGTCTGCTTTGGTCCATAAAAGGCTATAGGGGTGCTTCTGTGGGGGGATATTTAACATCTCTGATTGCTGTAAAGCCTTTTAAACAAACTAGGATGGCAGGAATGATTGGGTTTTATAAAAGGAAATAGGGAATAAGAATTCACCCTCTCCTCCAGCTCAATCTACTGTCTTAGGATCTCACTGTCCTCTCTAATCACTGAGCTCTAAAATGACACTGAATCCCAGGTCACCTCAACTTTGTAAAGCTACCAAGGAGGAGACACAATCAATGCTCCTGACTTCTCCCTTCGCACAGGCTTTAAACAGTATTTGCAGCAGCATTGCTTTCCCCCCTGGTGGATGCAGAGATGGTGTCTGATATGCTAATGCACATATTTATAGGCTCTCAAGTGCAGGGATGTTAGGTAGCTGAACCTAGATATGTTGTTTTAAGGGCTCTGGCAAAGTTTCAAGAACAAAAGCAAGAGACAGCCAGTTCCCATCTGTGGGCATGTCCCTACATTTCACTGGGGCAAACCTCATGATTTAGCAAGTGTGAGCCTCGCACCCTGAGGCTGCTAAAAATATTTTTTTTAAATTGTTAAGGACTTCCAACAAAAGGACAGAAGCATAAATAGAGCTCAGTTGTAAAATTCAGCTGTGGCTTTTTCATGCCCCAGCATTTGGGGTGTTGAGAGCTGAGCTTTTGGTCTGGGCCCACTTACAAAATTCAGAAGGGAGTCAAGGTTTGTATTTAAAATATATGTTGTATTGACAAAGCTTAGTGGTATTTGCACCATCTCCCATAATATTTCAGGCTGATATTATTTTACCCTGATCACCTTCTCTTCCCAAGTGCATTGCCCCATTAAGAGAAAAGCAACTGCACAACTGTGAAAGAGGAATGTGGTCAAGTGTGCTGAGGCAAAACCTGATTCTTACTCAAAGTGCAACAGAATGTGTGCAGCCTGGTTTAGGGGTGGGAACAAAAACTCTGTGCCTGGATTAGGGGTGGGCACAAAAAGCATGGGAGCACATGTGATAAGAAACCATGGCCTGCTTTGAGAGCTGAGTAGTTACAAATTGAAATGCCCTGACTGACACCTGCTAATTCATTGCACCCGCGTCTTTTGTGCTGGCGCTATTGCAGGCACCAACATTCTGCTGCAAAATTAGAGGCTTGTTTTAAAAGCTTTTAATGAGTATGTAGAACAGGCGTGACCTTCGTGTTTAAGGTCTTGTCCAAAACATGCACGCATGCAGCAAACTGCACGGAGCCCAGCTGATTTCCCTTTAGGAGAAAGGACTGAAACAACAGAGCTATGATTTAGATCTGTGGTTTCAGGTAATAGAGGCTTCATGTCTGGTGCACAGAGAAATAAGCTGTCCTTCCTGCCTTTCAGGTGGAAGTTATTCATTTTCACCTCTTCTGTGCAAGCCACGCTGGAGATCTTCTATCTGCAGTGCTGATTTGTGTTTCATATTCAGCATCTATCTCACAAGTAAAATATCACCCACTGACCACAATGGACACTGTGGGTACAGAACAAACAATAGACTCATACTGGGCACTAGGACAGAGCAGTGCCAAGTAAATGGGAGAATTCTGCCTCATGAATGGTGACAGTGACATAGACTTGATTTAAAAGAAGAATTAAGATAACTATGATAATATCAACTAAGCTGGTGCCATGGCAATGCTTTGCAACTGAGCACACAGACACTGAGAAGTTCTTTCTATATGACCACAGAACCCCTGGCAGATGAGTACCAGAAGTGAAAACAAGGGCTGCAGTTAGATATATCTATAAAAAGGAGAAAAGCCTTCCGTAGCCAGTGTTCCTCAGCTAGTGCTCTAGCTCCTGAAAACTGTGCTCTGTGCCCACTGAAAAAATGGCCAGGAACAAGATGGCAGCATCCTCCAGAACGAAAATGTGTAACAGAGGACCCTAAACAAATAGTCCTTAGAGCTAAATGAGCAGAAGTCCCCAGCTGAAAGCTCTCAGCAGTCCTATGGAGCAGGTGTGTATTATTTGAAGGGCTAAATGCCAAATACATCCACTGTCTCAGCCCAGCTCCTAGGTCTTGTCTACGCTATGCCTCTTCCCCCTTTGTATGTTTCTGCCAGGTCAGCTATCAATAGTGGGACATGCTAAGGCAGAGAAGTAGGCATATTTATTTTCTTGCCATGTAACCTTTCTGAGACCTGCCATGGGTGCTAGAATCCTGTTCCCATCCCACCCTACCACCCCCCATCTTGGAAGGGAAAAGGAATAATTTTTTACTTGATCTGTCTGCACGTTTCCAGGTGACCTCCTGGCTTCCTGCAGGCCAGTGTGCCTGTTCTGGACCTGGTCTTCTGGACCTTAGGTACCCTGACCATGATAACCCAGAGCACCTGTGAGAATTACTTTGCAGAAGATATTATTTTTCTTGCCTACCTGTGCAACTTTGGGGAATGAGTCACGGATCTTATTGGAGCCGCTAATATTGACTAATATTGATAATTATATCTAAGTGGAGTTTGCTGTGCCAGTCAGCTCTGAGGGACACGCCAATATATGTTTGTTTCATAACAGCGTGACGGGATATAAATCCCTGCACTCTGATTGGCTGGGGTTGCAAATATGCAGTCAAAGTAAGATGAGTTGCATGATGATGATGACTGTAAAATGATTTAACTACTACAAATCTATCCGATCTGATGGGTTCACCTCAGAGTTCTCCATTCACAGGGCAAATGCTTCCTTATCTTGTATGGATTCAGCTCTCATTGATTTCTGAGTTGTACCCACTTATGCCAGGAACTAATTTAGTACTGTAAGTCCATGGCAAGCATGTTGGTGTCGTTCTTTAGTTAGCCCCTGAAATAACCGTAAGTTTGTGAGTAAATTTTTAGTGGGATGGGGTAGTAGACAAACCTTTCCCAAGACCAGCAACATGCATTTGGGGATGAAAGAGGTACTGGCAGGAAAGTGGACAGGGGGAGACAGATGTTGTTGTTATAAAGAGGATGTTGGATGTTCCTGTGGGCATGTGGATTGTGGTAGAGTCCTGACAGCAGTTACCAACTGGGTCAGAAAAATGTACAGTAGCCAATCGGCGCTAAGTATGGTACAGTTTGGCATAGTACCTCAACAGTAACTGTGTTGGGGATGATGATTCTGGGTCTTCTCTCCTGAGAAAGGATTTCCAATCACTTTAGCTCTCACCATATTTAGCCTGAGGGAGAATCATTATCTGATTACTTGAGAGTGTTTCCT